GTGAAAGTTAAAGTGAGACATTCAGGTTAGGCTTTGGGGCGACAGTAGACTCTGCAACCCTCCCCAATCTCAATGTGGAGCCCTGTGCTGAGGAGAATGGGGCCGTTTCCTCCCACAGGCGATCGTGGGTCTGCTCACCCACTTGCCCACCCTGACCGAGTGGGGCTCTTCCGTCAGAAGTAACCGCGCCTGGATGGCTTTACGAGGGAGAGGAAACCACCCAGAGAAAGGCGAGGCCTGCTGCCTGGCGGGAGGCACCGGGACCCCAACCAGCACCCAATGGCCAGGCTCTGACTAGGTCAGTAGCTTCTCCCCTGTGAGTAAACTGGGAATGAGACAGTGGGTAGCAAGGGGCGGATGTGACAAGAGGAAGGTAGAGAAATTGAAACTGCCCCAAACAAAGGTCAGTGACCCTGAAGCAGGCTTGTCATTGCCTTGGCGGCAGCACATGGCAGCAGCCTGGGATGGAGGCAAAAGGCCAGGGTGCAGAGGCCGATTCTGTAGTGGGGAGGCCGGTGCAGAGGTGTGTATGTAGGGGTTCCCTCTAGAGTAACGCAGTAAATTAAAAGTGAAGAGAGAAGATTTGCAGAGAGAGGGGACCCAAGACTGTCTGAGTGGACGAGCCACATCCCGGGAGCGCCTCCGGGCAAGAGGGAGCAGGAGGAACGCATCCGGGGTGGGCGCGGAAGCCAGGTGGTGACCGCCGAACGTGCCGGCAGGCCACGCGTCTGCACGCTGGCTGAGCACTGCCACACAGAGGTCTGGACGCGCTGGCCCGTGCGGATGTGACCGTGGCCAGCTTCTGAGGCCTGGGGACCAGGCTCCCAGCCTCGCCCAGCTAGAATTTAGGAGGTTCAGTGTCTGGCGGGGCCAAGTTCATGGGCAGATTGTTCCTCACAGTGGGTGAGTGGTAAATGTTAGCATTTCCTTGACTGGAAAATATTTGCACAGCTTCTTTCCTCTGAAAGCATAGGGAGACAGCGTCTATATTCCAGGGAAAGAATGAACAGCATCTAATAAAGAAATAATGTAAAATGAATATTCAGCTTGATGCTGAAATTGAAAATGGAGAGGGCAGTGCATGTACTTAAGGGATGTCCTGAGTGTCACATTCATGGTGTCTTCTGTTCCTTCTTCCAAATGCAAAGAGGCATCAAATTGATCTGAAGCACTGAAGACCCAAACTAAATGTGTTAAAGAAGGAGGCGGGGCATGCAGGTAAAAGGTAAATAATCGTTTACCTTTAAGCCACTAAAGGAAAGGATGAAGTGTCTGTTAGAAGGAGGCTGATAATGAGCAAGACTGCGTTCAACAAGCTGCTGGTTACCTCCGAAAGCCAGTGCTAGTCGTCTACCCCTATGCTGAGACTTTCCTCAAGGTGCAAGCAGACCCTCATGGCTTTCCTTCCCTGTTAATAATTATATTTTCATCAAGAATTTGCACTGACTGGGTCACTCCATTGCCTTCACTGCTGTCAATCTATCCCCGGGACAGACCTGCAGAATATTCACTCCACCATTAAAAAGGCACCCACTGATTTTTGACAAAAGGTGCAAAAGCAGTTCAGAGGAGGAAAGGCAGCTCTTTCTTTCCACCAACGGTGCTAGGGCAACTGGCCATCCAAGGCAAGACACTGAACTTCAACCTAAACCTCACACTTTACACAAAAATTAGCTCAGTATGGATCGTAAATTTAGTGTAAAAAAAAATAAAACTCCAAAACTTTTAGGAAAAAAAAATCTTTTGGATCTGGGGCTCGAAGAAGAATTCTTAAATTTGACACCAAAAGCACAGTCAATAAAAGGAAAGATTGTAAATTGCATCTGATCAATATTTAAAAACTTCCTATGAAAGATCTTGTTAGGATGAAAAGACAAAACAGAGAGGGAGAAAATATTTGCAAGCTACATATCCAACAAAACTCCAGAATATATAAAGAACTCTCAAAACCTAAAAGTAAAAAATTCAAAACAACCCAATTATAAAATGAGCAAAAGACATGAACAGTTCATGGAAGAGGCGATACAGGCTGCAAATAAGCACATGAAAAGATGCACATCATCGCTGGCTGGTAAGAAATGCAAATTAAAACCACAATGAGATATCACCACACGCCTATTGGAATAACTAAAAAAAGTGACAGAACCAAGTTCTGGCAAGGGTGTGGACAGACTGAGTCACTCACACATTGCTAGTTGGCATGTAAAATGGTGCCGTCACTCTGGAAAACAGTTTGGCAGTTTCTCATAAAACTAAACATGCAATAAATACGTGACCCAATAACTGCACTCATGGACACATCCCAGAGAAAACACAATTTGTGTTCACACAAAACCTGAACACGAATGTGTATAGCAGCTTTATCTGTAATAACCCCAAACTGGAAACAACTTCTATGACTGAATGGCTAAACTATGGTATAATCATATAATGGAATACTACTCAGAGAAAAAAGAGAAAAATGTGTCATTTGATGCACACAGTTTGCATGAATCTCTAGGGAATTCTGATTAAAGGCCAATCTGTAAAGGTTAAATAACGTACGATTCCATTTATGTGACATTCTTGAAATGACAACATTAAAAAGATAGTACAGTTAGTGATTGTCGGGGGGCAGGGAAGGGCAGGGAGGGAGATGTGTGGGGTTGTAAAGGGTACCAGGAGAGGCCCTGGGTGGGTTGTTTAGTATCTTGACTGTGGTGATGGATACATGAACTTATACACGTGACACAATCACATTAAACTAAATACACACATATATATATAAGCACAAGTGAAGCTGAGATGATTTTAATAAGATTAGTGGATTATCAACCTTAATGTTCTGGTTGTGATACTGTACTATAGTTTTACAAGATGTTACCATTGGGTAAAGGGTAAAAGGGAACTTTCCATATTATTTCTTACAAGTGTATGTAAACCCATGATTATCCCAAATTAAAAGTTAATTAACAAAACGCCATCACTAACCCGATGGCAGGCTCCCTGCTTAGATGCACCGGGATTCTTAGAACCACGGAGTGCTCTGACCTTGCTTCTCAGCGTGGTCCTGGCACTGTGGCGTTGGCGCGCCCTGAGGTCTGGGCACTGTGGCGTTGGCGCGCCCTGAGAGCTTGCCAGAAGTGCAGAACCTCAGCCCCCGCCCCTCAGGTCCCGGGGAACATAATCTGCATGTTGACAGCTCCTAAGATGATGGGGGTGCACACTCAAGTTTGAGACACAGCGCTCCTCCATAAGAGTAGGCTTGAATGTGTAACGTGCTGGCAGGAGCCACACGTTTTCCTTGGTTTCAGCACCCGTGTCCTCTTCTCCAGGGAAGGACAAAATGTCCTAACCTTTGTTGAAATCTAGCTGTGTCTCTATCACACCTGATTCTCCATGAGATGGGCTTTTCTACTTCCCTTTTCAGATGAACTGAGGCCCAGCCCATCTAACTGAAAAGTCACACATGGAAGAAAGGCAACAGAAGGTTATACACAAATGACAACAGAGCTCTAGAAGAGAGAATGGAAATAATCAGAACTCAATGTTTGTTCACCTTTAAGGGTGAGTATTTTGATTTTAAGAGGGTGAAATGGTCTTACAGTGAATTACTTCTCTTAAAAAATAGAGAACACTCAGAGTTCATGTAACAAAACTGAATAAGAATCTCGCCATTTGGGTCCTGTTTTAACAATATGTGCTGGAAGGTGAATTTATTAAAATGGACTGACATTAATTCAAACTTAGCTTGCTTACGTGTCAGGTAAAGCTAATATTTTACAGAGGAGAATAACAAGATGAATGACGGGAAAACACTTTAATCTTCAGGAGGAAAATGTGGGAAGCCCAGAGCACACACGGTTCTGTAACACAAGTTTCCAAGGCATTTCAGAGAGGCGGGCCACTCATCACATTTTATGCTTAAAATGACTTCCCACGTCTTGTGCAGAGAGCGTGTGTGGGCTGCCGCACACTGGCTTACACAGAACCTTCAGCCCGGTACCCCATTCTCACAGGCTTCCCAGCAGAGCGGGAGCACCGCCCCTGGGCCATCGGGGCTGTTCGCAGTCAGAACAGATCCTGGATGGGCATCACAGGTTTTTAGGGAAACCAGGGACAGCGACAGTCACACGAATTTGCATTTGCAGCTTGACTCCTCTTAGTGAATGTGATAGAATCCTATTGGCTACAAGCAAGCCGCAAAAGCAATGCAAAAGAGATTGCAGCTAAAAATACTGCAGCCACCCTATGGCTCTGCTCTTTTTAATTTGGTATTTGAGAAGAGGAGGTAATTGTCAGCAGAATTATGTATGTAGCCTTTGGAAAACAGGAATCTGTGTTTCCAGTAAGAACCTGGACTCAGTGTCCTGCGATTGGTGGCTGGGGGACAGGTGGGGGTGCATGAGTGGGAGAAACGGCGTGAGCACAAGCTCAGCACTCTGAGCTCTCAAGCGAAGTGCTGAATATGGTCTCTCTTGGAGGGTCTCAACTGAGGGTCCATGGGTCACCTAGAGGGTCTCAGGTTGGTTTCAGAAATTCCAGGAGCCCCTGAAATTGCATATAATTTAAAAAATGTGCATACATATTTTTTGTGTGTGGAGAAAATGTCATATATTTTTAGTAGATTTTCAAAGGGTAGCACCTCAACTGTTAGGATTTAGCAAAGTTCACGTACTGAAAAAAAAATCGCTGGTGAACACTTTTTTTCCTTTCATATTTTAGAAACTTATTCTTCATAGATAGAGCCAGATGCTTACCCTTGGGCACTCCGTTTCAAAAGAAAGTCCTATTTACTAATAAACCCGTAGCCTTTATCTTAGAAGAGCATGGCATCCTAACCATGCAGGCCGATTCCACTAGAATAGAAGCGGTTTCGCCCTGAGGCAGGCTGGTGGCTTGCTGGGAAGGGGAGCAGTTCTGCCTCAGACATACACACCCCTCCCTCCCAGAGCTATCAGGATTAGGAGCGAGTGACAGACAGTGGTGGGAACACTGCCACACCTGGTGGCTTGGAAGCAGCGAGCAGCACAGGAGGTGATTTGATGAGCTGGGCCATGACCATTTCTCAGATTAAAGGGTGTGATGGGGCTTTTGGGGGCCACGCAGTACAGCCTTCCACTCAAAGAAAGAAACCTCTGTCCCTCCCTCAGGACGATGGCATTCCATCTCTCTGAACTCTGTCACATACAGTAATTGCCTGTCATCGCAAGCAGCCTGTTCCACAGACAGCTCTCATTACTGGTAAGATCTTTTAAATTAATAGACTTCGTGATTATTCAAAAAGACTTTATGTTTTAGGGCAGTTTAGGTTTACAGAAAAACTGAGCCGAAAGTACAGAGAGCTTCTCTCGTGTCCCCCTCCGCACCCCGTTTCCCGTTGGGGTGCATTTGCACTAGTGCATTCCATCTGCTACAACTGACAAATGGATACTGATTCATTGTTAACTAAAGCCCACAGTTTACGTTAGGATTTACTCTTTGGTTATACAGTTCTGTGGTTTTTGATAAATGCATAATGATGTGACTCCACCATTAATTATACTATCACCCAGGACAGCTTCATTGTCCTAAATACCCCGAGCTCTAAATACTCACTCCGTCGTCCCTTCCCCAGGCTTGGCAACCACTGATCTTACTTTCTCTGGTTTTGGCTTTTCCAGAATGGCCTATGGTGGGAATCATACAGTGTGTGGCCTCTTCAGACTGGTTTCTTTCGTGTAGCAATGTGCATGGAAATTTCCTTCATGTCTTTCTTTTGCTTGAGATCCCATTTTTTTGGTCACTAAGTAATATTGCATTGTGTGGGTGGACCACAATTTATTTACCCATTTGCCTACAGAAAGGCATCTTGGTTGCTTCCAAAATTTGGCAATTATGAAAAAGCTGCCATAAATATCTGTTTATGGTTTTGTGTGGACATACGTTTTCAGCTTTGGGTAAACACCGAGGAGCCTGCTTGCTGGACCGTATGGACAGCCTACGTTTGGCTTGGTAAGAAACTGGCTGAACAGTTCTCCACAGTGGCTGCGCCATTTTGGTTCCCATCAGAAAGGAGCAGGGGCGCCTGTTGCTCCACGTCCTCGCCAGCGTTTGGTGTGTCCGTGTTTTGAATGACAGCCATCCTATTAAGGGTGCAGTGGGATCTCTCTGTTGTTTTAATTGCATTTTCCCGATGACAAATGATCTTTCCATCTGTATATCTTCTTTGGTGAAGAATCTGTTAGAATCTTTTGCCCATTTTAAAAATTTTTTTATAATTGGGTTGTTTGCTTTGTTACTGTTGAATTTTAAGAGTTCTTTGTACATTTTGGATAAGAGTCCTTTATCAGATAGGTGTTTTGCAGATATATATATATTTTTTCAGTCTGTGGCTTGTCTTTTCATTCTCTTAACTGGCACAGTATTTATCGTGAACCAAGGTAAGCCAATTTCATACACTAATCCTCAATTTATTTTCTGAAACTACACAGGACAAACCTCACTCCTCTTCCATACAGTGGACAAAATTATCTGAAGACAATCATCAATCCCTCCCTATCAAGACTCTTCATTTTCCTGGATCCCAAGTTCCTGAGGATGTCCCCCTCCTGGCAAGATACTGAGCTCCCTTCCCCATCACTGTGGGTGCCTTTTGGGAGGAGCTCCATTTGTCAGTAATGCCAAGTAATTTAACAAGTAATGTTAAATTACTTGTAATTAACAAGTAATGCCAAGAAGCGAACAGAATACTGCAGATAGGTTTTGATTAACACAAATAAGAGTGGTACTATGCATTATGCTGTTATTGTTATTATTTTGTTTTAAATTAGTTAAGTCCCAATGTTTGCTCATATTAAGTCCTTTTCCTCAACTGTCTCCCAGGTCTTCTATGTGACTCTCCCTCTGTCTATATTCAAGCGATCGAATATTTTATACTTTTATTTAGAACTCTACATCTCTCTCATGCAGTTCATGAGTTCAAAAGGGTTTTTTTTTCCCCACCATTCTTCCCTCATTTGAATCTCACAACAATCCCATGAATGAGGCTTCTCAAATGTGATTATTCTCCTTTTCAGACGGGGAAACTGAGGTCTTAGCAAATCAAGAAACGTGTCCACGTCTATGAGAACAGTAAGTGGAGGTCTGAAGATAAGAATCAAGTTCCTTTAGTATCGCTTGTTTCAACCTAGTGTTCTTTTTACCCTATCACAAATATAGTAGTGTTCCTATCTTATTTTGTTTCTTTTATAGATTTGGGACTTGTGTCGTCTATTGCTTTCTCCTAGTCACTGAAACACTGTCGATCTGCACAATTAAAGTATAGTGTCTGTATTTACATCACTAACTACTTTATATTGGTTCATTTGTTAAAATTTAATAGGGACACTTTTTTGGTTAACTATGACTTCACTGAACACATTTCTTCATCTTCTTTGAAAAGACATACTGAGAGATTGTCAAATTCTTTTCTAAAATGAAGTTAGCTGGACTTTTTTTCTTTTTTTTTTTTAGTAAAACCTATTTGCTATCTAGGACACCATTTTATTTTCTAAGTGCTCACCAATCATGTTTAACAACCTGTTCTCCAGTTCTGCCAGGGATTAACATAAAACTGTGGGATCCATAATCTCCAGATTCTACATCATGCCCCTCTGTGAAAATTAATACATTTGCCCATTTTTATATACAGGGTCAAATCATTTGTAAGTGAAGATTCTTCTAGATGGTATTTAGATGGTATTCCTTGGAAACTAAGTATAAATATCATCTTCATCAGGGCAATATGACACTTCTGAGTCTACCTGTGTGTGAGCATTCTCATGACCACAGTCAAGGATAAGTAAGTCCCTTTACTCAGTGGGACAGAAAGCATATTTTGAGCTCCTTTGGCTTTGATTGGGGCATGGACAACTTCATACAAAGAGATAATACAATGGCTCCTTGTTTAGTTCCTTTGCTCCATTCTCTCCTTAGCGCTTCCCCACGCTTGGTGATATATAAAATTTCTTAATAAAGGAAAAGCTTTCCATTCCACAATTAGAATTAGGCTTAATTTGATTTTTGGAGACGTATTATATAATTTATGTTAAGATATAACTGGCCAAGGTCATTTTATTTCCTGGAAGTAGATTTAGATCTTGGAGTGAGGTGTAGACAATGGGGTGGTGGTAGTGGTTAGTGTGTGTGTGTGTGGGGGTGGCGGGGGGAGGTAGGGTGTCAGCTGGAGAGAGTATTAAGAGCTTGGGGGGAATGAAGAGGGTAAAACTAAGTTTAAAAACCACAACCAGGGCGACGTCAAGGCCCTCTGTGGGCCATGATGATGGATTTTAACCGCTTCACACTGGATCCCCCCAGGCCACAGCCAGTTTACAATTAGGGCAATGAAGACAGCTTGTCACTGAAAACTGTTCCTTATCTCCTTACTTCTCCCCACGCCCTGAACTTCCTCAATCGGACTCCTCTGTCTGCCATGCCTCGCCCTTCCCCCCAGCCTTTGCATATTGGCCTCTCACCCACTTGGGCACATCACTTACTGTCCTTGGTGCTGGGTTTGTTTTTCCCAGTTAATTCTAATTTTCTTAAAATGAGTGATCGATGACAGGGAGGTGATCACTTGGACACACCCTTAGACTTTGAAGTTTAAGTAGTAGAATACCCCCACAATTTATTTTCCAATCGAGGGTATAAGTTTTAAGTTCCTCTCAGTTTGGGCCTCTTTTCCTATTCCATTTATTGCAGCTTAGTGTCATATTGGAGATTATAACAGAATTAAAAAATCACCTTTCTTATATTGAAGTAGTGAGTAATAATTTAATTATAAATTAATTGCCTCTTATTTTATAAATAAACAATAAAACGGCAATTACCGAATTTCAAAATGTTGCGTACGCGTACCATTTCCAAAGAGCCGTTCATCAGTATCTGTGGATTCTTGTTCCATAGTATCCTGGCCTGGATAAATAACGAATGTCTTGACATTCACAATAATTAGTAAAAGGTAGCAGTGCTGAAAGCTTTCGAGGCCTCTGTGGTTTGAAAAGTGCAGGTAGTTTGGATAGGAGTTTCACTTCCCTCTGTTCAATGTGTTAGATCCTTTGGCGAAGTTATAGGGTCGTCAGAGTATTTTTTTTGTACCATGCTCACAATATTCAAGTCTTAGCCAGTACGGAATCCTTTAATCTTCCGTCTCAGGCACTCCAAAAGGGGAGTTGACTGGAACCAAAAATATAATTTATCCCCTTTTCCATTTTTCTTCTTCCCCCATTTCTCCCCTCCTCTCCTCTCCTTCTCTCCCTCCTTCCCTTCTTCTCTCTCGTTCCATCCCAATCAAGCCAAATAAAAAAGCAAGACCACTACAAAATTTTGTTTAACATGTTCAATTTCTTGTTTTAGTAATACAAAGACACTTCATTGCTTTAAATTTCTATTTCAATGTCAAAAAAGGAGGCCTAAGAATTAATTTCTACAGAATAAGAGCAACATCCTCATGAGAAGCAATGTATTTTAAAGGGTTTTTTCACTTAACTGACATAAACATTGGAAACCTGTTGTGCTAGTTTAAAAAAAACCCTGCCAGTGATTAACTCAGCTCTGTCTAAGCATTTGTATAACACCTTGGAAATTATTAAAGTATTCTGCCTGCCATTATCAAATACTTATATACTCAGCACCATTTAACTGACCATAAGGAAATTTACTAGAGGGTTGCCATCAATAAATATTTTCAACTAGTTGTATTTACATAGTAGCTACATTAAAATTCTGGGTATTTTTCTTAGTGTAGGATTTATTTCTTTTATGTTCTATGCTATTTACAAAAGGTTTGTCAGTTACAACTAACAAGATTAAATTATCTAAATTCTACCTTCGTTTGTCACCCCAACTCCAATGCCTTCCGGTTATGATATGAACCAAAACCAGAACGGGCCTAAAGTGGGTGGATTGGTAGACGAAAGGCAAGGAATGTTTTTGGATATTTCCAAATCTTGATTATTGGCTTTTGGATAATTATCATGTTCAATATAATTTAAAACATAAAAATTATTGCAAATATTGAATCCTGGCTCCACTAAAATCTCTGCCTCCTCAGCCTGGAAAGAATGCTTCATTTTTAAAAAAATATATACTTTGATAGTACATGATAATGAACCACTGCTATTTTAAGAGCTATGAGCTCATAATTATCCGAGTCGAAATTGATGCACACAATGTCTATCCCTCCCTTTTTTTATATGCAGGCATTCCTTGGCCCTAGAAAAATCCCTTTCGCAAGCAGAAGGAAAGAGTATGGACTAAAACTTCAAAATTTTAAATCTAAAATTGCAAAATATGTCAACATTGATAATAGTACAGAGTTGAATGACGGGATTAAATTTCTTTCAGCATTGAAGTATTTCCTGAAATCCATATGGGACTCTAATACTAATAATAACCCATATTTTTTGTGAATTTGGGTGCAGAAGACAAGTTTTGAAGGACATCTCAGAAGTCGTCTAATTCAAATCGACCTAAGCAAGAACCCTTTCCACCTCGTTTCTAGACAGATAATGATCCAGGCTTTCAGGTGAGGACCTCTATGGGCTTACTGAGGTAATTTCAAAAACTAGAAAAACAGGGAGATGGCAGTACAACAGTGCATCACCTGCAATACAGCTCTCTTACTGAGCAACCACTATCATGCCATCTCATGATAGGTTTTATCATATTTTTAATCATTCAATAGCTAATCATTTGGAAATGGTCACTTCCCCTGCAGTACTTTTGCCTTCTTTTGTTATGGATTTTACAGTTAAAGACTTTAAAATTATTTTTTAATTATTAAAAATGAGTAGTCATTGAGGACTTGGAAATACATAAAAGTGAAGGAAGAGAAAACGATGAGTTTTAGGTGAATACAAAGAAAATCATTATTAACATTTAGTGTATATTCTTCAAGTCTTTGTTCTTTAGATAGGTTGGAAAACATATACTTGAGATTAACTGATACGTACAACTCTGTATTCTCCTTTTAGTCATTAATAACCTAACACATTTTAATTAGAATTTGCTTGTAAACATTTTAATGTATATACTATAAAATACTTCCTAATCTTTTAAAATATGATGACACACCTAGAAAATGGCTACTTGTAAGACACTCTGAGGGGAACGGATGGAGCTGCTCGAAGCAGAGGCCACCGCAGACCCTGGTACTATTGTATCTCTGAGGCCTGAGTGGACCAGTGCTTCTGTGAGGTGCCGGCAGTGTGGTCGAGCCCACCAGTGGGGCGGCTCTTCCTAAGGCTCCTGTGCAATGCTGTATCATTGGACGTTCACGAGGTATATACCGTTTGTGTCATAGAAAATGCTGCAAGATTAGCTTGGACCATAAAGCTTTTTACACAGTTAAGGAAATTTCCTTACAACTGTTGAAATCAAAAAGAAATGGAGACCAACCTTGAAAATTCTCTGAGCAAACAAAACCAGTTTAGTCATATAAGCAAAGCTTAATTCAGCTTATTTTGCAAGACTAACTTGACGTGGGTCATTTCTTGCTTATGCTTCTAGAAATTATAAGCCAAACTTGAACTGTTTCCAAGGTGGACATGAAGTGGCTACTGCCCAATTCCCTGTCACTGAAGGAGAAATCCTTCAGTGACCAGTGATTGTGAAGAGTAAACTGTCACTGCCTCTCACCACCTGAGCCATGTACCAACACCACGCCCTGTGCCCCAGGTCCAGGCTTTAGTTCGAGTGCTGCCTGTTTGCAAACTGTCTTTTTGGTGTATGCATAATAAACTTTTACTAATTGCTACTTCAGTGACTCATGGGTTTCAATTCTGTTATTTCTAAACTTTTTACAGAATAAATTCTCAAAAATGGTAGCACTGAATATTTTTGAATATGGCTATTTCTAAGAATTCTGATACATGCTAATGTTTTTAAGGTATACCATTAACATTTCAGAATGTTTTACCTTCCCTTTTACAGCACTGGATATTCTTTAAAAAACATTTCTGCTAATTTGGTAGGCCAAAAAATGGCATGCGATTTTAATTAGCATTTTTTGGTTACTCTCAAGGTGAACGCTTTCCTATTTACTTGTAAGTCAGTTTTTTCACTTGTTAATTGCCAGTTCTGAAGTCATATTCTTTTTCTTATCTTTTTGTATAAGCTTTTCATATATTATATATGTGTAAACATTTTGTTTATTGTGTCCTGGCCCATTTTTTTTAACACTGAAACATTTTTATTTTGATATAGTTGGATGCATCCACATTTTCCTTTGTCATTTCTTCCAGCTTAGAAAGTTCTCCATATATTTGATATTCACTTTAATCTTCTCATAACTTTTGAAAGTTGATTTTGTTTTAAATTTCGGCCATCTGAAATCCATTTGGCTCCTTGGTCTGCTGTAAGGACCTAACTACATCTCCTTTTCTTCCAAAGAGCTCTGGAAAGAACACAGTTCTTTGAACAATCTTTGATATTCTTGTTATTTTTGATGTCATCTTCACTTTCCTTTAGTGTATTATTCATTTTCTATTAATCATATATATATATATATATATATATATATATATATTTTTTTTTTTTATCCTGCCACCTGTTGGCAGCTCAGCAGCAGCTCAGCTCAGGCCGGGAATCAAACCAGCGACTCTGTTGCTCAGAGCTCACACTCTTGAGCAAGCTCTTAACCAACTGAGCCACTCTGCCGGTTTAATCATATTTTTATTTTGAACATGGTTAATTACCCACCACACACGTCCAAATATATATAATAGCGTATGTTTCTCTATTCATAGCTTGACTACAGGGTTTTTTTTCCTTCCGCTTACAGGCACAGTCAGAATGAAAAAGGTGTATGGCTTTGTGTTAGCAAGGGAGATGGGGTGGGTGGGGAGAACAATATGAGAGCTTTTTGATAATTTATTTTTCCATAATAGGAATTCACTGAGTGCATACAATTTAATTTCTAATCGTTTCCTTCTACCCTTTGTCATTGTTTTTCTTTGATCTCTTAGCTTTGCAAGTTTTTCCAATGTCGGCTGCTGCATGCCATCTAGTGGACAGGCACTAGAGGGCAGTGTAAGCGCATGTTTATGGCACAAACTTAACGCTGCTCCAAGGCAGTTCTGAGCAGAGTTCAAGCTTTGTTGTGACTGAGGGCTGCTGTGCCTTTTTCTTAATCCACGCTGTGGTTCAGCTGTTCGCTGCACTGTAGGAGCCAGTGCTGGGCAGACTACTGTACATGACCAGGGAGATTGTACAACCAAGGAAAGTCTGTTTTGGTTTTACACTAGGATCCTGTTCATTCATCCATTCATTTGTATTTTTCAACGGAGAATGAGTAGCTACAGTGCTATACCTGAGTGTTGGAATTAGGAGTGATATATGTATATATGACATATATTTTTTTATTTGAGGGATTATCTGTGTGAGCAAATGACAGGGAGGTAGTCAGTCTCCTTCATTCAGGGTCCGCAGCAACCCAGGAACTAGAGCTGTGGTACTAGCAGCTACATTTAATGAAAGATTAAAGTAAGAAATTAGACCTGGAATTCATTTCAATCAGCCCATGTCCGAGCATTTACAAGCTATCCACCAGTGATAAAACCCCCTCACACCTCTCAAAAAGCATCTCAGAAGAAGCAAACTGCCTAGGAATTCTAATTATCTGCTGAAGTCCTGTGCCAGGATTTCACTTTGAGTCGAATTCTCATAAGTATTTCCTGTCAGTGAGTAAGCAGCTTTTGTTCTTGGCTAATTAAAACTCAGGTCTAAGGAAGTTTTCATTTTCATTGTTTAAGTTTTGCTCAGTCTTTTACTGTATTTACCTGCCAAAATTATTCAACGGGTCAGTAAGCATTTAAGTTCTCCAGAGTGAATAAGCCTCAGGTGTGAATAAAAGTCCCTCTAACGATGTCCACACTCTCATCCCTGGAACCTTGTTATGTCATGTTACGTTGCAATGTTATGTTATGTTATATATGTTATGTTAGGTTGTGATGTCATATTATGTTATGTTATATGCTGTTATGTTACATGCTATGCTATACTACGCTGTGATGTTATATGTTATATGCTATATTTTACGTTATGTTATGTTATGTTGTGATGTTATGTTATGCTATGTTATGTTAATGGCAAAAGGAAGCTTGCAGGTTACAGGCTTTAAAATGGGGGGATTATCCCGGTGGGCCCAATTGAGTCATGTAAACCACCTTCTCTGGGTGCAAGCAGAGAGGTGCTACAGAAAAAAAGGTCAAACCGGAACACTGAGGAAAGACTGGACGTCAGGGACATGCCCGATGGGAACACCGAGGACTCGGGAGTGACAGGCGAGTTGCTGGGATGAGCCGCAGGCTCACGTCCGGTGCCAGGAGCCTGTCCACAGGTGGGCAGTGAGCCGGGCAGCTGTGTTGGGCCCAGTGCAGACAGCGGACGCACAGAGCGAGGACACACGGAAGAGAGCCGTGGGTGATGCAGAGCCAGGGGGCGAGCTGAAGAAACCCAGACCCAGCCGGCCGCTGCTGCTCTTACGCTGGGCGGGACCTTCCCTAGGTCGCTGCCAGGAAGAATGTCAACTCTGTAACTGTCTTCTCCCGGGCCCTGCACTGGGAGTGAGCTAAGTCTGGGTGGGGATCCAGTTACAGTTGCCTATAAATTACCTCTTCATAATCAGAACGGGAAGTTCCTTTCATATTGTACTTTACACTTCCCGGTGAATGCTTTTAAAATTGTCTTTACAAAGTAGGGAATGAAGCACTTTTTCAGGCCCTATTAAAACCAAGCGTCTGATGTAAGGAGATACACTGACGACTGGACTGAGTGAAGAACGCGGTGCCTAAGGGGGCCCGACTAGGCAAACAGCCCCTCTCCCCCTCGGATTAATGTCTGAACAGGCCTATTTAAGTCTACGTGAGCCATATGTTGCATTTCCAGTTCCTTTCAAAACACATGTTGGTACGGTTTAAGCAAAGCATTCATTACTTTAAAAACACCGATTCTAATTTTAAAAGCATGTGAATATGTGTACTGCTCATTAGTGCGAGAAAAACACTGCACTGAGCTCCAAGTGGGTAAAAGTGCAGGGGCCCCGAGAGCGTGGCCATGCGTGGGGGTCCCGGGTGGAGGCAGGACCTTTCTCCTATTAGCTGCGCTCTGAAGAGAAGGCCCCTGTGCCCACCGTCTGGCGCTTTTATTCTGTGTCCCGACGCCCACTCAAGGCCAGGCTTAAACCATCGTGTTCCTTCCATCTGAGTCTCAAATCACGTCCCAGACTCGGGGGGGGGGGGAGGGGGCGGGCAGCTAGTGCAATCACCTCCTGATTACAGCGTCCTCTCCAAATCTGGTTATCACAGGAGTCATTAGGATGACTGCAGCCGAAACCAGCGGTTGTAGAGAGGAGACCGAATGCATAACTTGTACTTCATCATACTTGTGGAAATCAGTTCCAGGGTAAGGGTGCCATTTTGTTCTTGACCCCAAATAGCTTAAAAGCACATTAAATTGTAAGTTGCTGTGAACCATTGGAAAGACTTGGTGGTACTTTGTGACAAAAATATTGTAAAGTTAGACATGGAGCTCAAATATATTCATGGAAGGAGATGTACACAGTTACTTAAGAGAAACTGACAGCACATTAAATGTAAAAATTTTAAGAATGGAGTCACAAATTTATGGGAAAAACATCTTCTCTCTAAAATTAAATAATTTGGAGACTCATTCATTCAGCATTTATTTATAAATTTAGAAGCAAATGATGAAGTCCTACCCTCAAGTACCTAGTAGGAAGAGACAGAATATGAACGTTTCAAAAATACCGACTAAGTTAGGTAGTGATGAATGCTCCAGAGAGAAACAAGCCAGGTGAGGGAGACGGAGACTGAAAGGGATGCTGCTTTCTGTAGGTGACATTTGAGCAGAGACTTGGGGAGGAAGTGAGCGAGGAAGTCACATAGTTACGGGAGGGTTTTCCTGAGAGCAGGCTGTCCCGTGTGGCTGGGTCAGAGTGCGAGGGTGAGCGTGGTGGGACTCGGTCAGGGGAGCAGTGGGAGGTAAGGGGACAGGTCGCGGAGGGCTGGGGGCCATCGTGAGGGCTTCAGCTTGTGCTCAGCATGCAATGGGAAGCCAGCAGAGAGGCTCAGGACACACGGGTGACCTGCATTTCCACGAGCTCACCCTGCTCTCTGCTGAATACAGATCACAGTGGGGGGAAGACCGGAAGCTAGGTGACCGGTCTGGGGATCACTCCAGAAGTTATGTGAGCCATGCTGGACTAGGGGAGCAGCAGTGGAGGTGCTGAGATGTGGTGAAATTCTGAGTATCTATATCCCAAAGGAGTGGCCAACAGGATTTACTGTTGGATCAGCCGTAGTGTATGAAAGACCAGGGTGGATTTTTGGCTTGAGCAAATGAAAGAATGAAGGCGCCTCATACTGAGATGGAGAAGGCTGCAGCAGGGCAGATGGGGAAGAAGTGAGGGAAATGAAGAGGTGGTTTGGACATGTGCATTCTCACATGTCTACTAGGCACTGAAGTGGGGTATGTGGAGAACTGGGGTTCTGAGGCAGATCCAGACTGGAGATCCAAGCTTGGGAGTGATCAGGGTGTTAGTGCTGCTTAAAGCCATCGAGCCAGATAGAGGTGCAGCTAAGAGGGTGTGGGAGAGGCAGAGAAGGGGCCTGAGGCCCATGCTTGGGGCCGTCACAGTTGGGGAGATGAGGAGATGCCATCATGACAGCAGGGAGGAGTGGCCAGTGAGCTGGGGTGTCACTCCCAGAGTGGCATCTGGGGAGTGACATG